GGCCCTTTCTACACCACTGGGTGAACATTGGACTTCACTGTATGCTTTAAGCCATAACACAGCAGAGTTTACAGAAGACTGTAAACACCCGACCACTGACTCACTGCTATGTCTTTATGTATTGTCACATGTACAACCTCCTTCAATTACATGCTACATTAAAACACTAGTCACATGGCAGGGTTTTATGAGATGGTGTGTGGAGATTCTGGGTGTGACAAGATCCCTAGTAAGTTACTCCAGTCGCAAGGCCACTGCATGGATGGATATTGAAATGGTTGCAACTATTAAAAATAGGATGTTAATGTTATGTTTCATCCCTGATAAGAGTGAGTGAGTGAGAGCAATATTCCAACAATATCACGGCTGGGGACACCAGAAATGGGCTTCACATATTGTTCCCATGTGGGGAGTTGAACCCAGGTCTTCGGTGTGACGAGCACATGCTTTAACTAGTAGGCCACTCCACTGCCTCCCAGCTCAACAGTGAAATGACCTTGCTGTCACACATTGTGCCCATGTGGGGAATCGAACCCAGGTCTCTGGCGTGATGAGCGGACGCTTCAACCACTAGGCTACCACACCACCACCCCACCCCACCCAAATAAGAAACACCATCAGTGTTCAGTGCCTCCATATTAAATGTTCAAAGAAATTTCCATGTATAACAACACAAGGCAACACACGTGCTCCAGGTATATTTCCTGTTGGTATAGCAGTCACCCCTGGCCCCCATTTAATGTCATGTACCCCCAGAATTTATTACCTGGCGTCCCCAGGACACTTACACAGACCAAGGTAAACCCCACTGCAGTAAAGGGGAGAGGTGTTTGACACGAGATTTTTATGACTGTTACCATGAGCGTCCAACTGTTCTCGGTCTCTTAGTGGCTTGGTAACGGACAAATTTGTAGCTTGACATCATGGACGCTATCTTTTACTGTTAATATGTGGACTTGTATAAGAAACAGCATTTCACCAGATTTGAGCTAAGATTGTTGATAATGAATCATACTGACTATTGATGTATAAACTAATGTCACTGCATGTTTCAACAACAGTGTCGTCTACTTGTTTGGTCTCCAGTTTCAACAAGTGAAAAATTTTTATTACACACATCATAAATCTTCATCAAACATGATCACAATCAGTTTACCTGCAGGACAGGTTCCCCTGCAGACCAGGATACACCGAGGAGGTGGTGCAGTGATTAAGTACATGCTAGGCTGGGTGCAGTACACTCAAACCCCTTTCTAAATCGTGATTAGCAAACTCTGTTACCACCTAAACCCATGCTATGTCAGTGTAGGAAGACAGCCCGTCCCAACGTCCGATCGGGTGAATTTTGTGGACGGGTTAAAAAATATCTAGTCCGTCCTCATGTCGGGTCAATTTTAGCAAACCAATGACATATATATAATGATTATAACCTTTTGAATATTTATTGCCGAAGGTGTTTCATTTATATTTGGAGGACAGGCTAGATTTTGGCAGGACTGGTAAAAATTTGACCTGTGGACAGGCTAGATTTTCTACATCTTTCCTACACTGGCTATGTCCAAGATAATGATAACTCTGTGTAGTAGATGAATATCTGCAGTACTGTTCAACTATCAAGCTGCCTCAGAGTGAGTGAGTGAGTGAGTGAGTGAGTGAGTGAGTGAGTGAGTGAGTGAGTGAGTGAATCCTTCTAACTCCCGTCAACATCAGCTTTATTCACAGGAAGCACCAGAACATGGTGACGCAGCATTCCTGAGTCTTACCACCCAATTAGTCTTTAGTCTTCTATCAGAGCAAGCACAGCATTAGTGGGACTTCCCACTGGGTGTTGAATGAGTCAGGCGACTATTACAACTTCATAATACTTTTAACTTGTAACCCTACAAGAATGAAGAGCAGTATGGTACAACACGTTATATAATCTAAGGCTGTCACAGAAAAACATATAGAATAAGGCAGACCCTGAAACAAATATATCTGAAGCAGCAGAATATGTGGAAAGTCTAGATTACCTAAGTTTCTGATAAATAGCAAAGTTTATTTTTTTAATTACATTTAATAAATATATAATAGGAACTTTTGTCTGTATGTTCATTTCAGAGACTAGATGTTAGTCTATGTATCAGGTCTATGTTCCTCTTAAACCTATCTCACTGATTGACATAACATTGGCTGAAAATACTTGCATAATCAAGAAATGGTGTCATAGTCTACATTTGTTCGACTTGATTTGAACTAAAACAGTTTCCCCTGATTGCTGTGTGTGTGTTTATTGGTTGCATCATGCAACACTCCATCTATATGATGGAGCCTGTAAATAATCAAGTCCAGATCAGACGATCCAGTGATGAATATTTTGAGCAACATTATGGAGGTATTTGGACACCCAGTCAACCACTTCACCTGAGCCTGACCCCATTATTACTATATCTAACGTGAGCCTCTTACATAGCCAACTTTTCAACAACGACATTCCTTTCTTTACAGTTCAATATGCATCACATTCAGTCATTACTCTATAATCATTTACACAATTAAACATTAAAACAGATATATACTGAGATGGTAGGCATATGTGCAGGCCTGGCATCATCATCCTGCGAGTATCCATGGAAACACAGTTTATGGGCCATTTGAACTTGGAATAAAATAGCTTTTAAATTGGGTCAGAGTTTTTTAAATCATAATCTTACACTGAACTATCAACAAAAATAAACTGAAATATCTTGTTAACAAGCTAGCCAAATACCTAAAAATCTTTCACAGTGTTGCAAACATTTAGCAAGATATCATCGTTTACAATACTCATAGGATATGTCTAAGCCGTAATATCGCTGGCATGGTAAACTCATGCATATAAATGTTCCCTTGAGATGTCTATATCACTGTTCCATTCCTGTAATGGGGAACTTGTCATATATTGATAGTCAATAGGCAAATACTATTGGTAATGTTTATAACATGATAATCAATTATACACAGCAGAGTGAACTTCTTCCTTGTCACAGATACCAATATGTAAGTAATAAGCCTACATCAATGATACATCCACTGACGGGAACAAACACATAATGTTCGGAGAATTATTGGCACAATCTACACAGACACAGACTATATTTTAAAAGGTGTTGAGTTGCAAGCACTCTTAACTACTAATCATTAAGATTGCTTCATGAGAAATCCACCAGGAAAATAGCATAATGTCAACTCTATTGTCTGTATGTAGTCATTCATATCAGGGCCTGGATTTGCTGGAGAGGTGGTAGATTTTAAGGGTGCTTCATTTCATTTACCTTGCTTTCATCAAATGTTTTTCTCTCTGAAGGAGAATTGTTTTGAGTTTACATCCTCTCACAAATAAACAGTACGTACTGTGAGTAGGGATGTCTCGATGCATAAGTTTCCTGAATCGATACGTATCACAATATCCATGTCACGATTCAATAGGTATCATGATACCTATTTTCACAGCATTATTGCGTAAATTTAGTTACACTTTGAACATTAATATTACATAATTTATAATTGTCCATTAAAAGAACATTTTTTATTCTCAGAGATTAAAAAGTTCTAATTTCCCATCTTTGTGCATGAAAAAATAATTTATAACTCTCCTAACATAAAAAACATGATACAATTGCAAAATGTAAAGGATACATAAACATATTTCAACCGATACTTTCAAAAGTAAATATCGATACAGTTTTGAATGTATCAATAATTGTATCGCCTTAGAAAAAGTATCGATGCATTGATGTGTCGATGTATCGTGGCATCCCTAACTGTGAGTCCCATGAAAGTATGTATGTATAAATAATCAAAACAAATCCATTCTCAAAGGGCACCCCCAGCTTAACTAACTCTGCTGAATTCAATGTCTTGAAGCAATCTTGAAGCTATTTTCAAAGCAAATACAAAGTTCAAATCCTTTTGATATTCAACCAGTCACCGAGTTTTGTTTCAAAGAAAGAAATCACATCTTTGTGTCCAGTCACCATGGCCTACTGTTCTCATACCTAAGACCATCAAACTTTAGGTGAGAACTGTACACTGAATGAAAAAACCCAAGGCCTAGAGTTTCAAAGCTCTCTTAGCGTTAAGATAGTTGTAAGTTAATGTTAATGTACGACACTTATGAGTATCTTAACGCTAAGAGGGCTTCGAAAATCTGGGCCCAGGATATTTGATGAAATGGGTGATTTGAAAAGTAGAAGAGTTACACCTCATATGAATCTCATTGTCACTGATGTACATTTGAACATTTCAAACATATCTTTCAGTGGCATTTAGAAGTTGTTACCAAATACCATGCAGCTGTGGTGATCAATATATTGGCGAGACTCTCAGGCCCATCAACACCCGTGTTGCTGAACACAAGTCATCAGTATGTAAACAAAATGATAAGTCGGCTATTTTGGAGCACATGGCAAATAATCCAAATCTTGTAATAATGTGGAATGACATCAGGGTGCTTTCAAGCAATAACAACAACTGGCATCGGAGGAAACTACAGGAGGCTGTGGAAATAAGAAGACCTAAACTGGGAATGAATCGTGATCAAGGTGTCTACGTGCCAAGCATGTGGAACCTCTTGATTAACTTTTGATGAACTTTTGATAAATGTGAAGCCTATTATCTATTCATTTTGAAAAGCCTACTATCAAGTAAAATTGTGTAATTAGTAATTATTGTGTAATTAGCAATCATTGTGTATTAACAATTCAAGTTTCAAGTCTATTATCTAGCATGAATTAATCATCATTATATAATTAACACTTCAAGTTTTCAGCTTCACTTATACTGTACTCTTCCCTGTGGATTGTGATGTCACATGCATTGTGACATCATAACGCAGCTATGACATCGTGTCAACTGTCACTTCACCTGATGAAGGGATCTGTAATGATCCCCGAAACGTTCTGTGGGAAAGATTAAAGAAGCTTAAATCCATAAAATGTCTTGGTCATTTCAAATATAGCTGCAAAAATATATGGCAATGGTTTGATTCACTGAATGAATGATGATGTATATTTGGCAAAATAATATCAGGAAATACAACATCAGGTTCAGTGTCATTTCACAATCTTTACAGTACTGGTTAACAGTCATATGTTGATTCAGTACATGCTTTCATCATACATCCAGTCCAGTCCTCTGAATACACCATTCATCACATCATGGCTTCCGTCGATTGTGGAAACCAAGTTTTTCAAAGTATTTTGAGAATTGATTCAGATCTTTGGAATTGTCTCTGACGTCCAGGGTTGATTTGAGTTATTAGCAGCTGTGAGGAAAACTTTATCACTTGGCACAAAAAATGTCATATGATACCCTTTATGACATGAGTAGGCGTTACACAATGCCGAGAAGGTATGCTTAGTCCCTACGTGGGCTCAACAGTTAGTGAGTTGCTATGGGCTTCACAAAGAGTGTGAAGCGGGGAATCGACCATCTTCCGGGTCTGTCCTACCATGTGTTCTCCCGCTGTGTCTGTCCACTCTGTGTACCCCTCTTGTCAAAGTCTTATCTTTTATCTAGCTTGGTCAGTCAGTTTGGGGTAACCATAAACTTAGCCTAACTGCATATCATTTATGTAGATTTAGCTTGGACTTGTTGGCACTCAGAGTCAAGTGTAACACACCAGGAATACTGAATTGACAGACTAACAGAAACTCTAGTGGCTGTCTTGTGGTCTGTGGGTCGTCCATGATGAAGATTAATCCTGGAAACACCTTCACCTTTCTTGCACAAGATGTTCCAGGAATAAGGAAACGTATTGTCCAAGAAAATTCTCCTGCAATCAGGTTTCTGCTGTATTTCGTTCCAGTAGACAGTTCCTCATGAAAAACAGAACCTGAGTTGACATAATTAGAACACTTGGCACTCATGGGAACTGTTCATCCCAAATTACACTGCATTGTAGATACTCATGATAGGTCCAAACTGATTCAATAATCCTATCTTTCACACAACCTTTATGACTAGTCATCACCACCCAGTATAATTTGATCATCTCTGATGAATATGGCTGTAATCTCATCACCAGCGAGTGGCGTTTGAGTACATAAGTTCACTTGGCAGCAGTTCTGGAGGTAGTTTCACCATAGCACTTTCTCAATGCACCAAACTCTTCAACAGTTGACTCACGTCAAATATCTGTACACGTTACATCAGCATTTGACTGAAACAAGAAACCAGCATTTAATCTCACTTAAAAATAGTACTACATGAATTCATTTTATATATCTCTGGAGGTACTGCAGAAACTTAGAACCTGAATATACTGTGGAATTGTAAAATAAAATTTGCTTTAAAGTACACTTATAATTTCAGTGCTTGCCTTGACAAAGGTGGTGAAAAGCTCTGTTGTGTCTCTTAGAAGCCAGGGCTGTTTCACAAAGCTAGGATTTGTAGCGCTACGACTGTTGTACCTCCTGTACTGTAACATAGCATTATGATAGTTGTGCTACGATGGCTTTGTGAAACAGGGCCCAGGGTCAGACACGAGGGTCATGGGTTAAAGTCAAAGACTCACCCTGATCCAGATCCGTGGGTCCCTACTCATACTTGTTGGTTTCACCCATGTTGCAACAAGAGGCATTACTTTGAAATTCTACTCTCATTGTGCTGACACACTGCCATAAGACTAAATACTGCTCAGTGTGGTGTTAAACTCAGCTCACTCACTCACTCATCCTCACCTTAAAGTCCAGGTAGTCATGGGGAACGTGAAGGACTGAGTTGCAATACTTGATTCTCATGTAACCTTTCTGCTGTGAAACACCAATGACCGTCACCTCTTGACCTTTCATGAGCGTCAGACCTTGTGAATCACCTGTAAAATTAGTCCATATGGATGTGTTAATTTTGTTTCAGGGCATATTGCCATTGGGTCCAAAATGTTTGGATCAAGTCATATAAACAACAGTTTCTTTGTCTGTTACCACAGACCTTTGAATAACAACCTATTGGTAAATCACTGCTGAACTTACACACAGGGGCATATTGACCAGTGTTCGAAATAAGTGCCTTTAGGCCATGAATACTTTCATTTCTGTCTGGCCCACAAAAATATATTTTAGTAAGCCTGGCAGATGTGTACAATGATACACCATTAACCTGGTCTGATATTATGACATCAACAAACATGGGGACCTTTCCTGCTCTGTGGACTGAATATGTTCCTTCCTGTACATACAGAATCATGTACTGACCTGCAAAGTTATGTTTCATGATGCGGTAGTGAGGGAACTCCATCCTCATCCCCTCGTACACCAGGTAGTTCCGCCTCGATGGCATCGGCGGTCTGGAATCCTGGGAAAACAGCATTGGTACATCAGAAACTTTCTGAGACATACAACCCACCTAAAACTTAATTGAGCAAATATTGGCATGCTCAAACATATTTTCAAAATTAAATCACAAATAGTATCACTGAAGAAACATTATTTAAAGGTAACTAAAAACGTCCCTTGTCTTAAATATGATTGTGATACTGATAATATGTAGAGTAAAAGGAGACCTGTTTTATTCTCACTTGAAAATTAAAGCATGACTTTGTCAAAAAGTTGCAGACCTACCACAGCCAATTCATCTGTTATTTCACATTTTGGATGTTTTCTGAACTACTACAGTGCACTCTGTCTAATTCGGACCGGCTTGGGACCGACTAAAAAGTCAGAATTAGACATCAGTCCGAGGTACACAGATTTTAATGATTTTAATGGAGTTATCTCCCTTTGACAAGCATACGATTGTGCATGAAACACATATTACATGAATGCATATGAAGACGAAACACTGACAAAGTACATGTACACTTGTTTATTACATACTTACATATAAAAGCTTCAGTTTGTGAAGAAATCAGTCATCAAAGACTGTGACTGACTTTTAAGTGAGTGTTTTAGAATCATAGTTTATGTTTATTTAATATAGTGTTAATCGCATCAAAGGTAAATAAGCGTTCACCACAAGACCAAGCGGACTTCCTGCTAAGTAAATAAGACAAAATACACAAACCAATCAACGGATAGTTTATTCAAGCTTTATTGGCCAAGTGGACTTCCTGCTCAGTCCAAATTATAAAGCAATGTTTTTACTCGTAATTACCTTATCGGGCCGACACTTTGGTTCGAAATCCCAAATAATGAGAGTCCGAGATACAGAACTTTTTCATTATGACAACAAAGAAGGATTACTTCGGGACCGTAAGTTCAGTGCTGTTTATACAGCAATCCGAGAAAGACAGAGTCCGAGTTTGACAGAGTGCACTGTATATGTAAATACTGTGTTTGATGTTTAAGTACTGTCCTCACCTGGTTGATAGAATACATGGAACATATTTGTTGCAGGACCCATTCATCCACCTTCTCCACCTGTCTCTGCTTCGACCTTGACACCTGATGGTCCATCTTTCTACTATGATGATCTACATTGTGCCGGTGGTGACTGATCCCCTGTTGATCAATACCATGATCCGCCTTGTGGTGCTGGTGATTTGTCTTGTTACTCTGTGGAGCTCCTCTGTGTGGGAGGGAGTGATCTCCCCTAGAAGGCTGGGAGTGGTCTCCCCTGGAAGGCTGGGAGTGATCTCCCTTATGTAGATGGGTGTGATGACCATTGTGTGGTTGGGAGTGAACTCCCCTGTGTGTCCTGGAGAGATGTTGGGAGTGATCTCCCCTGTGTGGTCTGTATTCTTCCTCCAGCAGGTTTCGTGTGCTGCTGGCACTGGAGGAGGAATGAGAGGATCTGGAGGAAGAAGAAGGGATGTCATGGACGATACTTTGACCCACTTGATTGGAGACTCATCTACTACCTGTACTGCACATCTATTTTCACATCATTCAACCAAGACACAACAGAGTCACGAGATCTGTCGTGTGATTTATCATTATTACATATAGCATCATTATGAAATCATCAACCATGGCACCAGTCAAGTCAAAATGGGAATGGCATACCTGTGTCTCAACCTTTTCTCTGATGATTTCCGTGTTCTTAGCCGAGCTCTTACTTCAGGCCACAACCCTCTCACTTTTGACCCTCGCCAGCATGCCTGTATTTTAGCAGCAGCGTCGTGTAGTCTCTCCTGGCGCATGCCCTCAAGACTCTGACGAGTGCCCTCACTGGAATAAAGTAAATGATATGTCTTTATACAGTCAAATTTAAACCTATGAAGGTACACTATCTGAAAAAAGTAACTGTTTTTCATACAAAGTAGTGATAATGTTATATTATTGATAATAACACCATCATATTTGGTCATTCCTCTGATCAATGTTATATCATAACAAACTCATTGACCCAACCTACAGTTGGTACAAGAAGCCAGAAGGAGATCCCCTCAGAGATGAGAGTTGGTTAACAGTGTCAGCACCAGATGATTGACACATTTATTATTTCTCGTATTATTGTGTGTGGTATCGATGGTACCTGTAGAACAGATGCTTCTTGCCGAGGGTCCATTGTGTACTGACGTAGGGAAGCCGGCCGTCGTCCATGGCCCTGAGGAAGCTGGTCAGGATGATCTGGACACATTGCAAAGAATTCATGAACAATTCTAACAATACTAACTTCATCAAAAATCATAATTAAATAACATAATAAATGAAGAAAGCTGAAATGCTTGTGACCAGTGATGTCTACAGTTTATTGTGGAGTACCCTGGTTGTCCTACCCGACACTCCTCCTGGGGACTCTGCAGCTGGAACTGGGCAGACTGAGGCAGGAACAGGCCATATCGGACATTAAACCCCTTGTACCGCATCCTGTGGGGCATGCCTGGAAGTGACAACAAAGTAGAGCTATTTCACAAAGCAAACAAGAAAAAATTGTGTCCAGGGACACGGATGCCCCCTCTGCTGTAGGAAGAGTTCCCTACACTGAGTGTGCTCTGGTGATTAATTTCTACTAAATAAATATCATGGTTGATTATTAAAATAAATAGGAACAGGATGAATAGAACCAAATTCAACTAAGTTCAAACATCTGTAGAAGTGACAAAATTAAGAAATTGGATGAACAAGGTATGAGATGCACACCTTTAGAGTCCAAATAAAACACAAGTAGAAGCTCAATCAATTCTGTTGAGCAGCTTTTGTGGAGAAGTGGATAGACTTCATCCCCTATAACACTATATTCAGAGAGAAAGTCAACAAAATTTATGCAAGTTCAAACGGCATTAAAATTGGAAAAAAATAAAATCAAAAATCAAAATATGAGATGCACCCCTTTAGAGTCCCTATAAAGCACATGTGTAATCTAAATGAATTCCATCAAGTAGTTTTTGAGGAGAAGTGGTTTACGTACAGCCCGACGTTTTGATGGAACGAACAGGCAGAATAGAACAAAATTCAACTAAGTTCAAACATCTGTAAAAGTGACAAAGTTAAGAAATTGCATAAAAAATTATGAAATGCACACCTTTAGAGTCCCTACGAAAGACATGTAGAAGTTCATTCAATTCTGTTTAGCAGTTTTTGTGGAGAAGTTGATAGACTTCATCCCTATTACACTATCATCATAGAGAAATTCAGCAAAATGTACCTAAGTTCAAATGTCTCTAAACTTACAAAAAAACAATAAAATACAAAAACAAAATATGAGATGCACACCATTAGAGTCCCAAGAAAGACCATGTATAAGTTAATTGAATTCAACAGAGCGTTTATTGTGGAGAAGTGGATAGAGTACATTCCCTGTTTCGTACGGACGGACGGACGGACATGGAGGGTAACCCTATATATATGGCGGGGGCATACAAACTACTGTTTCTTATCTCTAAATGTGATAATGTTAGCCTTACTGATGATTCTGGGGAGTTGATGTTCATATTTGGACTAAGCAAACGAATGGTTGATAGTGTAAGCATTGATCCACACTGTGGTGGTATGACCAGACAATCCAGTGAGTGACATCATGGCACTGATCCACTCTGTGGTGGTATGACCAGACAATCCAGTGATTGACATCATGAGCATCGATCCACTCTGTGGTGGTATGACCAGACAATCCAGTAAATGACATCATGAGCATCGATCCACACTGTGGTGGTATGACCAGACAATCCAGTGACTGACATCAAGAGCATTGATCCACACTGTGGTGGTATGACCAGACAATCCAGAGACTGACATCATGAGCACTGATCCACTCTGTGGTGGTATGACCAGAAAATCCAGTGACTGACATCATGAGCATCGATCCACACTGTGGTGGTATGACCAGACAATCCAGAGACTGACATCATGAGCACTGATCCACACTGTGGTGGTATGACCAGACAATCCAGTGATTAACATCATGAGCATTGATCCACACTGTGGTGGTATGACCAGACAATCCAGAGACTGACATCATGAGCACTGATCCACACTGTGGTAGTATGACCAGACAATCCAGAGACTGACATCATGAGCACTGATCCACACTGTGCTAGTATGACCAGAAAATCCAGTGACTGACATCATGAGCATCGATCCACACTGTGGTGGTATGACCAGACAATCCAGTGACTGACATCATGAGCATCGATCCACACTGTGGTGGTATGACCAGACAATCCAGTGATTAACATCATGAGCATTGATCCACACTGTGGTGGTATGACCAGATAATCCAGTGACTAACATCATGAGCACTGATCCACACTGTGGTAGTATGACCAGACAATCCAGTGATTAACATCATGAGCATTGATCCACTCTGTGGTGGTATGACCAGACAATCCAGAGACTGACATCATGAGCACTGATCCACTCTGTGGTGGTATGACCAGATAATCCAGTGATTAACATCATGAGCACTGATCCACACTGTGGTAGTATGACCAGACAATCCAGTGATTAACATCATGAGCATTGATCCACACTGTGGTGGTATGACCAGACAATCCAGTGATTAACATCATGAGCATTGATCCACACTGTGGTGGTATGACCAGACAATCCAGAGACTGACATCATGAGCACTGATCCACTCTGTGGTGGTATGACCAGACAATCCAGAGACTGACATCATGAGCATTGATCCACTCTGTGGTGGTATGACCAGACAATCCAGTGATTAACATCATGAGCACAGATCCACTCTGTGGTGGTATGACCAGACAATCCAGTGACTGACATCACAAGTATTGATATACTCGGCAGGGGTTTTAGAAAATATCACAGTCTGCGAACCATGTTATTTTCCCTTCTGCCCAGCTCTTACTGCCATGCCTTGGCTACTGGTGAGAGTTTTCAATGTAAATACATATGCTTGTTCCTATACAAAATACCTTTTCAGAGACTTTGAATCTGTTTATAAAAAGTACTTACCTCCTGCCATGAGCCTGACAGTCTCCAGGATCTGCAGGGACCGGATCTGCTGTATGACAGTCTCTGGACAGAAAGAGTCCATCTCACCATGATCATTACTCTGTGCAGAAACAAACAATTCTGGCTGAGTGAACATTGCATAACCCACAATATTACATCACAAATAATCAATGTCTTGAGCAAATGAACTAATGGCTGATAGCATGAGCACAAATCCATAACACTGGGGCACATTGACACAAACATTATAACTGATCCTCACGCCAGTCAGCTCATATAAGTCGGAATATCCAGTGTATTAGTTTATTGAGGTTTAAAACTGAAAGTATGTATGTTGCAACATAAATTTTATGATCTTACTCTGACACATCTGATGAAGTGTGGCTTGGCATTTACAACTGACTGCAGCAGGTTGTCCAGCCTCAGTTGGAAGTCGTGGCACAGTGACCCGCGACACTCTTCATCCCTGTTGGGAGATGGAGACAATGTGTCAAGACACATGTTATACTATATCATCATACTGTACAGTCATTCAATATACTCAACAAAATTCTGTTTGGTTTGAAAGTTATTACTCAGATGTTGCAAAATTTGATTATTTTTTTCAGTTATATCCTTAAACAAATGCAGTTTCATGTTCTCTAAAAATAATTCTTGCAGTTCCTGAGAACCAATTTCAGATGTTCTCTTATACAAAAAACATTGTACCATGAATTCTCAAGAAGTACACAGAGAATATTAGATGTCTATTCTCTCTGCATAGCAATAGTAGTACTGTTTACAAATCTTGATAATCCAGAAAAAAACACTATGTCAGGGTACGAAACTCCCAAAATGTTCAGCCAGACCACAGGGCTGGTTAGATGTAAAACTTGCCAGCCCTGACCAAAACTTACCTGTCCACAAAATGTTTGAGAATCTGGCAGTCCGTGTTGAAATAACCCGTCCTGGACGGTCGGGCAGACAGGTATTTCGAATGTTGACTATGTATATACACTGTTTGTATAATCTTTTTGAAATCTTGCAATTCATGATCCAGAAACACTTTACATAAAAACTCACCACATGAGTGTCTCATATACACAAAGCAACAGAGTTCTGAACACAGCTAACCAATGGTTACTTACTGTTTTCCTGTATCATGGTGGTTGGTGGGTAGAATCCTGTACTTGGTCCCTCGTGGGCCCTGACCATTATCTGGGAGAGAGTTACAGAGTGAGTGAGTGAGTTTAGTTTACGCAGCTTTTAGCAATATTCCAGCAATATCATGGCCGGGGACACCAGTAAAGGGCTTCACATATTGTGTCCAAATGGGGAATCAAACCTGGGTCTTCAGCGGGATGAGCCAACGCTAACCACTAGGCTACCCTACTGCCCCTTATCTGGGAGAGAACAAGCAGTACTTATTTTAAAACATCATTCAACAATGTATTTATCTTCATTTGTGAGTTGTTATATTAGTTTATTTTTGTGAGATAAAGAAATTACATATGCTGGCCTGAATGCTTCACTTACTCCTACCAAACATTCAGAAGCCTTGACACTCACTGGCTGGTTAAAACGTCTGCCTGAAGTAACTCATATATATATAGGTGTTGTCAAATCTTTATGCCGAGGTACTGAGGTGATTTTTTAATAAACTTGACTATCACTCAACAACCTCGTGAGTAGGTCCATATTAGAGTTATCCCCCCTTATTCCCCCATTCCTCAACCTACAGTATGTATACTCACCACTCATGGTTTTGACTTCATGTGCGAAGAGATGGGAGGCAAAACCAAAATTACAGTTTTGCTTGGAGAAAATACTGATGATGTCATCAGGAATCTGATCCTGATTGGTGGAGAGGAAGTTGCTGGCGTCATAAACAACACGGCCTGAGAAATGGCGGATGCCAAACAACCGCTCAACCTTTGGTAATGGCTCAAAGAAACTGAAAATTCAAAAATGAAACAAATGAAGATCAAACATGTTTTGTTGTTGATTTCCTAACTCAGCAACATTACAGTTCTATGACAAGAGGCCTCGAAATAATAATAAAGTCAAGACCAGACGAACCAGTGAACAGTTGTTATAAAATATGAGATCAAACCACAGGTTCATGGCAATCTAATGAAATGATTTTGCTGTTTCATGCTTACTAATTGTTGATCCTGTGCCTTGCTTTAATCTCCTGGACAAACGCCTCGACTGTTTTCTTGGGTTGAGCAGTCAGAGTATCCAGGATACTCACAATACCATTTGTCTGCAACAAATTGGGTCATGCATCTGTCATACTTGTTTAAATGCTGATCTGTATTCAATATTATTAGTCTCAGAACTCTGTACACAGAGCTCTAGAATAGCTGTGTGTTTGTGTAAAACATGCTAAAATGAGTACATTCAATATATACTCAGCTCCAAAAGAAATGCAAATCACACAAAACTGATAATAGTTTTGAATAAAGAGATTGATGTTTGCTTATGAAAATATGCTAAAAACAATGTGAGTCTTTAAAGTGAACACAAATGATCTTTATTCATAACTAGATGTGTTCTGTGATAATGTCAATATGACATCATCAGATTGAGCCATTTGGTAACGTCACTTAAGAGCCATGGGAAATGACATTTCAGTATCGAGTATTGGCTTCAGTCACCTTGATTCATATCTTATCTAATTTCAAACATTGTAATATTCATGTGTACATAATATATTATCAATAATATGATAATATACATCAAACAGAGTGATACTGAAAAACTGAAAAAAAATAAAAATCTAATGCCTCTTAATCAAACTTGCTTGGTCTTTCAGGTTACTCAAAACATTTTCCTCCTTGAAGACAATTATTTAAGATTGAAACTAAAAATATGACCAAGAACGAATACAAACTCTGAACCAGGTGAGTTAATGCAAATCCCCCATGACTGACAGGTAACCCAGGGCAGAGGGCAGCCCTTTCTACTGTGGCACAAAGCGAGTCATTGATGTGCACCTTGAAGGGTCTACTGTGCTATTGATTATTCACTCAAGTTAAGAGTCAGGTAAATATTAAAATAGAAAATATTATTTACCAAACGTGATGTACTTGTACTCTTATACTAGTTAAACAGTAACTGATCCATCAAACACACACACACACTAACAGTTTTAGTTGGTTGGTTGGCTGGTTTGTTTGTTTGTTTAACACCGCACTCAGCAATATTCCAGCTTTATGGCAGCGGTCTGTAAATATTTGAGTCTGGACCAGACAATCTGGTGATCAACAGCATGAGCAAAAATATCGACACAATTGGGACTTGGATGACAGGTGTCAACCAAGTCAGCAAGTCTGACACCCGATCCCGTTAGTCGCCTCTTAGGACAAGCACAGTCGCCTTTTGTGGCAAGCATGGGTTGCTGAAGACCTATTCTACCCCGGATCTTCACGGGTCACCTCCTACAGTCTCACCTGTGACGACAGCAGCTCTATGACAGGCATGTTGTTGAAGTGTACAATGTCTATCTCCGGGTGAATACCCTCATCGTGGAGGGCTTCCATGGGGCTGCGGAACATGTGGCTGTTGTAGAAGTTCTGCATGGCCTCAGCACACAGGTTCACACACAGCTGCTCCAGCTGATTCACCTGAGATGAGATGAAACAGCAGGGTGCTTTACATAGGCAACATAGGTGACAACTTAAGTACTTCCTTATTGTTACTCCCCAACCTCTGAAATGTCACTAAACAGATCATATTATGATTACATATCATGATCTGTGTGTGATAACTGAAGTTTTCATTGTTACCAATCTCTGAAATGACACTCACATATTATGATGTGTGTGTGATTAATTGAAGTATATGAGCATTACATATGCCACAGATTAAAATCTCAAAAACACAAATGATCAAAACCATTAACCAAAATGAAAAGTCAAAATATGTTGCAATGTTGAGTGCATTTCTTGCTACGATTAGGGACTTGTTACTTGTACGTTATATAAAAGTGTTTGACATATATACTGCTTATAAAAAGAGACAGACTTTGTTAAACTCTTGTTTTATTTCATGTTTCCAATATATTTTGATTGTATATATATGTCATATGTGTATGGGCCTGTGGCCTTCATGCATGCATACAAAAGATCTTTGACTGCTGGAAACCTAAGATCATGGGTTAAATCCCAGACCTCTAGGTTTGTTGGCACCATACCCATACTTGAGGATTTCAATTAAGTAGCCAATGGTTAACATCTACATCACTTAATGCTTTCCTCCCACATCAAGACTAAAATACTGTTTTAAGGGATTTTTATCACATACTTAAATGGATTAATTTACTCACCTCTGCTAGCTCAAAGCCAAAAAGGTCCACGATACCCACAAAACCATCAGAGAACTTTCGTCCATGTTGGATTGTGGAGGAGGAATCTCCAGGGTTGGTGGTAAGGATGTCGGGACGATGGCCTATCAATTAACCAGATCAGATGTGAATGCAGAGAAATGCAGTTTTTGTTCCTATGCCACAATGTGTTCTTCATGCCATGAGTTGAGGTTAACATAAATCTTTAAAGGTCACATGCAACCAAAAAATCAAACATAATTAAAACACAATTATCACTTATTCATGACATATAATATACATTGCTGGTTACGAAAAAATATATAAACAAAATTATAAGAGTACAAATGCAAATCGAAAGTGCAAAATTGTGTACTTGGGTTTACTTCCCAAGAAACGAAGCAGCCGGGATACCGAACCCAGTCAGAGCGGGTGGGTGAGCACTCAAGTGTAACGGCTGGTTCATTTGCAGATGCCTTGACGGCTAATTGTGTGTATATATATAGAGAGATGTTGGGTTTTGTAAATACATGCTCATTTTTTTTGTATAACATTTTGCAATCAACAGACATCATAACATGTCATGTGTTCAAGTATCACACCTGCCTGTCTGTGTAATTACATAATGTGACAGAGACCGAACTCGGGCCATAAATCAATGCATTTTGTTTATGGTGTATAGCCTGATTGGTGTTAAGTTCAATTTGCATTCGGTCAGTGATAGCAGCTGTGTATTGAATATTGTCATTAGCAGACAGGCAGGCAGACACACAGGTGTCAATAAAACAAGACATTGAGTTTTTTCTGTGACAACGACATATCTATATAATAATAATAATAATAATAAGTCCATTTGTATAGCGCCCTATATCCAATCACCAAGTGGTTGCTCATGGCGCTAACTATATACATATTTACAATAGGAGTTCATTTAGAAGTCATAGTGCTTCTTGAACAGGAAAGTTTTTAGGTTAGACTGGAAGCTGGCTATTGAGGGGGATTCTTTGAGAGACACGTGCAGATTGTTCAAGAGGATGGCTGACAAGTAGGAAAAACGTCGCTGTCCATATGTCTCCAGACGTGCATTTGGGATGATGAGCAGCGACTGATTGGCTGATCTCAGAGTCCTGGTTGGAACATACTCCCTTACAAGACTAGAGAGATAGGATGGAGCTGCATTGTTAAGACATCTGTAAGTCATGCTAAGTATTTTGTATTCTATCCTAGCTGGGAGTGGTAACCAGTGCAGACGCATGAGGATTGGGGAGATGTGGCTGTGCTTGGTGGTTCTACAGATCAATCTGGCAGCTGCATTTTGGACTTTTTGCAACCTGGAGAGCAGGTCTTTGTTCATGTTCCCAAGCAGACTATTACAGTAGTCCAAGCGGGACACCACCATAGATCTTACAAGATGGTGTGTTGCATCAGTTGTTAATAGCTGGCGTATGCTGGAGATACGTAGCATAGCATATCAGAGTAAGAAATTCTGTCAACGCTAAATAATGACATTGCTTTTAAGTATCGAACTGAGAAAGTGTCTCGGTAAGAAGAACGTGTGGTGAAATAGACAAATGAAATTATATAAACAGTTAATTTACTGTCATAACATATAAAAAGCTCGCGCCTGTGAGATATCAACAAAACATTAGAAAAATAGAACACACCAAAGCCTTCACCGAGTATTCACCAGACAACCCGCTTCCAAGCTGCGTGAACCTATTTACTTGCGCACATGCTATGAGCGCAGCCCAGCTGTTGAAACCCGTATTCCCCAGAAAAGTCTGGGGAAAATTAGTGAAACGTTTGAACTCCGATTTCGCGCTTTTTTTTTCATCGCGTTATTTTTCAACTTTATAAGTTGAATTTGCATTTTTGACGATTTGTTTCGGTATGTCCATACCGGTATGTCCATACCGAAAGGTATCAGAATCTGCAAAGTTGTGTTTTACGTTGCATGTGACCTTTAAATAAGCACCTATGCTAAGTAGTACTGTATAAAATACTGTTTCATGAGGCTGTAAAAGAAGCTCACTTACTCACTCACACGAACTAGGACATATACCCAAAATGATAAGTATGGTATTTCCTGTACTTCTTTCATATTATAAATGTAGTGTGTGAGTGAGTGAGTTTAGTTTTATGCCGAACTCAGCAATATTCCAGCTATATGGCAGCAGTCTGTAAATAATCGAGTCTGGACCAGACAGCATGAGCATCGATCTACACAACTGGGATACGATGACATGTCTCAACCAAACCAGCGAGCCTGACCACCTGATCCCAGATAATTAGTTGCCTCTTACGACAAGCATGGGTTACTGTTATCAAAGATGCAAAAACAAACAATCTGGACACATAATCAAGCTGCATCCAAGTCTGTTTTGTTTGTTTGCTATGTAACACAACATTCAGCAATAGTCCAGCTATATGGTGGCAGTCTGTAAATAATCGAGTCTGGACTAAACAATCCAGTGATCAACATCATGAGCATCATGACAATTTACGCAATTGGGATATGACGACATGTGTCAACAAAGTCAGCTAGTCTGACTGCATGATCCCGTTAGTCATCTCTTATGACAAGCATGAGTTGCTGAAGACCTATTCTAACCTGGATCTTCACAGGTACCACTTACTATACTGAGCACTACTGCGACTTCCCTTGGACTCGAGGCTCTCCATGCTCTGGGCAAGATTGGAAGCCTGACGACGCATACTGTTGACTCGCTTCATCACCGTGGATACGGTACGGTAATACAGGGCCCTTGCCAAGGCATCTCGAGTTGAGTTAGCCTGCACGTACAAAAGTACATGCTTATGATGAGACCATTCAAACAATTGGTTGAATTTACATACTCATATGACACTGAAAAGGAGATTTTAGGACATAAATTGTCATTTCAAATTTGAATTTCTGGTATGCAGGATGCATCCTGCTGTTTCCAAACTCGGTCAATTGGCGTTACTGATTTCAGTGATCCAACACCTATCAGAACAAGGGCCAACAATAAACAAGTTTATGATCTCCATACAGTTTATGAGCACCCCAAGAAAACGTTGTCCCATGATCATGCTCACTCAACGTTACTTGTGTGAAATTTGGCATACTTAATTTTTATATTTGCGAAAGTAATGACAACTGCTCATATCCCATGGCCGCTTTGTATCCAGTTGGCATGCTATGGCATATATACTTCATAACTTGTATCCCATTGGTATGCTATGGCATATATACTTCATAACTTGTATCCCATTGGTATGCTTCATAACTTGTATCCCATTGGTATGCTATGGCATATATACTTCATAACTTGTATCCCATTGGTATGCTATGGCATATATACTTCATAACTTGTATCCCATTGGTATGCTGTGGCATATATACTTCATAACTTGTATCCCATTGGTATGCTGTGGCATATATACTTCATATAACTTCATAACTTGTATCCCATTGGTATGCTGTGGCATATATACTTCATAACTTGTATCCCATTGGTATGCTGTGGCATATATACTTCATAACTTGTATCCCATTGGCATGCTGTGGCATATATACTTCATAACTTGTATCCCATTGGCATGCTGTGGCATATATACTTCATAACTTGTATCCCATTGGCATGCTGTGGCATATATACTTCATAACTTGTATCCCATTGGCATGCTGTGGCATATATACTTCATAACTTGTATCCCATTGGCATGCTGTGGCATATATACTTCATAACTTGTATCCCATTGGCATGCTGTGGCATATATACTTCATAACTTGTATCCCATTGGCATGCTGTGGCATATATACTTCATAACTTGTATCCCATTGGCATGCTATGGCATATATACTTCATAACTTGTATCCCATTGGCATGCTGTGGCATATATACTTCATAACTTGTATCCCATTGGCATGCTGTGGCATATATACTTCATAACTTGTATCCCATTGGCATGCTGTGGCATATATACTTCATAACTTGTATCCCATTGGTATGCTATGGCATATATACTTCATAACTTGTATAATGCTATGGCATATATACTTCATAACTTGTATCCCATTGGTATGCTATGGCATATATACTTCATAACTTGTATCCCATTGGTATGCTATGGCATATATACTTCATAACTTGTATCCCATTGGTATGCTATGGCATATATACTTCATAACTTGTATCCCATTGGTATGCTATGGCATATATATATATACTTCATAACTTGTATCCCATTGGCATGCTATGGCATATATACTTCATAACTTGTATCCCATTGGTATGCTATGGCATATATACTTCATAACTTGTATCCCATTGGTATGCTATGGCATATATACTTCATAACTTGTATCCCATTGGCATGCTATGGCATATATACTTCATAACTTGTATCCCATTGGTATGCTATGGCATATATACTTCATAACTTGTATCCCATTGGTATGCTATGGCATATATACTTCATAACTTGTATCCCATTGGCATGCTATGGCATATATACTTCATAACTTGTATCCCATTGTATGCTATGGCATATACTTCATAACTTGTATCCCATTGGTATGCTATGGCATATATACTTCATAACTTGTATCCCATTGGCATGCTATGGCATATATACTTCATAACTTGTATCCCATTGGTACTATGGCATATATACTTCATAACTTGTATCCCATTGGCATATACTTCATAACTTGTATCCCATGGCTATGGCATATACTTCATAACTTGTATCCCATTGGCATGCTATGGCATATATACTTCATAACTTGTATCCCATATGCTATGGCATATATACTTCATAACTTGTATCCCATTGGTATGCTATGGCATATATACTTCATAACTTGTATCCCATTGGTATGCTATGGCATATATACTTCATAACTTGTATCCCATTGGCATGCTATGGCATATATACTTCATAACTTGTATCCCATTGGCATGCTATGGCATATATACTTATGGCATATATACTTCATAACTTGTATCCCATTGGTATGCTATGGCATATATACTTCATAACTTGTATCCCATTGGCATGCTATGGCATATATACTTCATAACTTGTATCCCATTGGTATGCTATGGCATATATACTTCATAACTTGTATCCCATTGGTATGCTATGGCATATATACTTCATAACTTGTATCCCATTGGTATGCTATGGCATATATACTTCATAACTTGTATCCCATTGGTATGCTATGGCATATATACTCCATAACTCACTGAAAGGGCTAAGGTTTCAAATCAAGTTTACATTAGCAAGTGCTCAATACCAATGTTTACTATGCTTTACATGTATATTTTTTATACATCCACAAATAAACCGTCTTTATCATCCAAAACTGTGTTCCACAGGAGATATCGCTTGTGTGAGATCAAACGATATCTCCTAGGAGATATCGTTTTGACAGTAGATTTGACAGCAGTACCGTGTTCAGAGAAGTACACTTTTCATTGAAAATTAATGAAGAGTGATTTTGGATGATAAATAGAATCTCACCTTCGTATCTTCTGATATCAAATATATCAACACTCTTTGATAAAAGTTAAAATATCATCTGCAAGCCTCGGATATTTGTAACTTTATCAACTCGTGTTGATATAATTGATATCAGAAGACACTATGGTGAGATTCTCTATTTAAACATGACCTGAAACTACTCACACTTCTTGCATCTGTAATGCTGCGGGAGACATGGCCATGAACATGGCGAGTCCTCGTAGTGAAGCCTCGGTATAAGGACACCCCTGACACGCCCAGCAGAGCTGCTACAGACTTGATTTCTGGATCAGATAATTTCATCACTGAACAAACTTTTATTGATCTGATCTGTTTTGGCATTGAATAATATGAATTTAATCTATCAGTAGGTCTTGACAAGGCTGTAACATATCAGTATTTAGTGGAATTTGTGATCTTAGTATATTTTCAACTTACTGAAAATGTCATGTGAACAGGCTTAACTGACGTTTTCCACACCACAAAGGAAAATAGTGGAGAACTGAAATCTAAATTATGAGGTGAGGTGAGGTGAGGTGAGGTGAAATTGGGTTTAACGTCGTGCTTGAGAATATTTCGCTCATATGACGACGTGCATGCGTGTGTGTGTGTGTATGTGCGGCTGCTTGTAATAGCCCAGACTTAAGGTGGTTTAATAGTGCTAGCCCACTGAGATACCATGCCGCAGTGAAGCATGAATACCCCACTCAGACACATTATACTGACTCCGAGCCGACCAGTCCTTGTTGTACCCAGTAATGCCAAGTGCGTGATCGAACCCGCGACTCTAAATTATGAAATTGCTACTACATAAATACAGATCATCAGTTTCGTTTCATTACTGTATTTTATGCTTTGCAAATACCAAACACTAACCAACTGCTTTTGAACTTATAGGTCTGGTTATACACAACAAGATCTATGATAGACAGTAAAGTTTTAGTGAACTCAGATGATTCTTATAAACAATTTACATTAATCTTTTGTGATAATCCTTTGATTCATGTTTTGTGTTTACACTAAACAGTACGCCCCATCAAGCTCTCACATCAGGCTGAAAATAATTAACAGGAATAGTGGAGAGAGTTGTCAGACACTGTTTCACAACACACAACCTATGGATATAATAAATCAATTCCAACAGTGTCTTGGTGTTCACTATAGCAATATGTTTCACTTTCACCAACAGTAATGATCTAGAAGGTGTAGTTCCTGGACCAGGATCTGGAATGAGAGTGAGTGAGTGAGTGAGTTTTGTTTTATGCCGCTTTTAGCAATATTCCAGAAATGGGCTTCACACATTGTACCCATGTGGGTAATCAAACCCAGGTCTTCGGCGTGACAAGCGAAAGCTTTAACCACCAGGTTACCCCACCGCCCTACCAGGATCTGGAAACACATCAACCTACTCACCATCGTTCCCTACAACCTCCAGCTCCATCCCTGGACTCTCCACAAACTCCACATTCCCCAGCAACAAGATGGCCGCCAACACCCTCAGTATGTCCATTACAGGGATTCCAAGCATTGACAAGGACGACTGAAGGAAGAGACATCTTTTAGGAATGAGTACTTCATGGCAATGACACCTCATTCATTCTTCCTGACATTCAGCAAAGCATTAAGCATGTATATTAAAAGCAAGTGTCCCCTTCACCAAAACTGAACTTAATATTTCCAAATGTATATAATGCCTAAACTAGCTTATGTTTAATACCGAATGACATAGTTCTGACTGAACAATCAAGCTGAATTATCTTCATACAATTAATGAGGCTTCATTGGAGTGTATGCTTATTGTCCATCTCACCTTCCATACATCAAATCTGTGCATATCGTCTGTCACGTTCTGTTGGAGGTTACCACAGCTGAGGTAGCGCAGGTTGTGGAGGGAGTACCCCTTTAAATGTAGCTTCACTGAAATGGATACATTATAGCAGTGATATAGGTAGATATATACACTGCTGCCACATGTTAATATGATAATATACTCCAACCAATCCACTTTATACAACAGGTACATCGAGAAACACACAGGTGGACTGTGGAGTCATATCAAGAGTGAGTGAGTGAGTGAGTGTGATTTTACTAGCAATACTCCAACAATATCACAGCGGGAAACACCAGAAATAGGCTTCACACATTGTACCCATGTGGGGATCGAACCTGGATCTTCAGCGTGACAAGCACACGCTTTAACCACTAGGCTACCCCACCGTCCCTGTCATATCAAGAAATATATTTACAAACAACTGTTTCAAACTGTTTCTCACAAGTGAAAGTTTTTCATTCTATCTTTCAACCATTCTGGACAACCATGAATATCTCTGTTACATGCAGAACAAATCACAATGAACATTTGTTTATCAAATCTAGTACCTCTTTCTTCATCAGATAATCCAGCCAGCATCTGGTAGAATATGTGGTAGTTTTTCTCCCTCCGAGGAACATAGGTCACTCGACCCTGAAACAAAGTTACAAAGAAAGACAAGTTATATAAACAATACAGAGAAAATACTTGAACAATACTTGAATACTTGATTGTTGTTTAACACTGCACTCAGCAATATTCAAGCTATATGCCGGTGGTCTGTAAATAATCGTGTCTTGACGAGACAATCCAGTGATCAACATCATACGCATCGATCTATGCAATTGGGGTACGATGACATGTGTCAACCAAGTCATTGAGTCTAACCACCCAATTCTGTTAGTCGCCTCTTTTACAAGCATGGGTTGCTGAAGACCAATTCTAACCCAAATTCTTCACGGGTCAAAAGAGTTAATGACCCATCATGAGCAAATGTTTAAAACAAAATAGTCAGCACATTTCCAACTTCATCACTACAAGCCGTCAACCAGTGGTTGAAAACATGAGCAACCATCCATATTTACCAGCACAATAACACAGCAAACCTGGTCACACACTGCAACTATATATTGTGTTGTTAGCTGGCTACAGAAACGCCGGCCTCTGTAGATCATGGATAATGGCAAGAAAAGAGACCAGGGATGGAAATAACTTTAAAATTGCTAGTGTACTCCGGTACAGTGGCACATGTAAAATCACTTGCCCTGATCATTTTTCCACTTTACCGTCCGTTTTCTTGTTGATTTTTCAAATAAACAACATAATTTACATTGGAAAGTCAACTGGACACCGGTACAGTGTGATATACAAATTTGCTTGCCCGACAGAAAAAAACACTGGACTCTGACGTCGGGCAATGTGTTATTTCCACCCCTGGAGACAATGTATATGTCTTACCTGGTCTACGTACAGACCATGAATCTTGGTTCTGTATATCACACAGTCGGAGGTCAAGTTCTCCAAGTACATTCCCTGCAACATATTCAAGGGATATTCAATACAGACCATTCACATATGAGTTGTATATACACCTGGAACAAGGTGAAGCACTGCCTACTATTTATTATCCATATAGTTCTAAGACATTTATTGAAAATGTATCCTTTTCCGATTGTGACAGAAGACATTAATTTCATTACAAAGCAATGCTCTCATTGAAATTCAGAAACCAAAATGCATTATGTAATGAAATGTTTTGTAAGTGTTCCTTGACCAAAGTTATTGGGCTACCCCTTCAGTGGCTTCCTCTGATCTGTCTCTTAATATTACATAACATGACCTTGAACTTGCAACGATCTAGAGGAACATACAGTGTTCTTGTCTAACTGCTTAATACGTATTGGCGATATCATTGGCAAATATCAAAATGAGATCAAATATAGATACTTCAATTCTTTACATGCAATTTTGGGATATATGATAATAACGACTATACAAAAACGTGTGCTGTATACTCACAATGCGTGTGCTGTCAGTGTTGCACGTTGTCTCAGCTGATCCCAGTGATCGGAGAACTGTCATGGCCGCCATTAGGTGTCTGAACATGTCTGTCTTCGTGCCCCCGCCTGACCGCTCGTACAACAGCCGCAGGATGTGCATGGTGCAGTGAGTCTTCCCACTCCCACTCTCACCACTGGTGTAAAACACAACATCGGTCTAGACTTCCACGAAATACACACAAGAGGAAACAGGTAGCCAAGTGGTCTAGGGTTCCACAATTCCACAGAGATGCATTCCTCAGTAGGAATCCTAGACATTTCTCTATGAAGATTCTTAGCTTATCGACACACAACCCATTTTCATTGGCTTCAGATTTACAATTCCAAAGAAGACTCACAAAAACAAAGTACCAGAATTAGTACTCCGCTTAGAAAGAGTAATTCCAAACATAACATTTGTTAGACAAAGTTCAAAGTGAACCCACTCACTCATGTTTCCATCATTACACTAATTTGTTTCAGACATACTGAAATCAATATGAGTGATGTTTCAGAAGACCTCTGACACAATGCAAACAGACTTAAGAAATGTGACAAAGCCTGTTATTGCTGAACAAACTTTAGAACAAGTCATGGCCTTACAGTTAAACCCAGGATCTGAATAATCTTTGCAGCAGCAACAACAGCAGGGGGCAGTTGGTAGTGTATTTGCTTGCTACTGACCATTTGTACCAGAATCTGAGATGGACATCTGAGCAGTTGACGACAACAATCCTTCACAATCAAGATGCACTGCATATATGAACATGGAAAGCCTGATGTTCCTAAAGAGCATTCAAGTATAATAATTTGGCTGTGTACAATCTACCTGAGCACGATGAGTTGTGAGTGCCCCGAGTCGATGTGTTGTGACAGGGCAGTGTTGACCAGCCCCTGCAACTGATGCCCAGCTTGGTGACAGTCCTGTAGGACCATGGGTGATGGGACATGGTGGAACGGGTTCAGGCATATCAGAGTGGGCCCAACACTTGTCTGCAACAGGAGTGAGTGAGAATAGTGAGTGAGTATAGTTTTACGCCACACTCAGCAATATTACATCTATATGGCAGCGGTCTGTAAAAAATCGAGTCTGGACCAAACAATCAAGTGATCAATGAGCATCGATCTGCGCAATTGGGAACCGATAACATGTTTAGAACCTGGCAGGAAGACACCTGACAATGCAGGGGTAATATTGCACTACGTCTCACCTGGTACTGTTGGCTGTAGAACCTGGCCTGTAGACACCTGACAATGCTGGGGTAATATTGCACTACGTCTCACCTGGTACTGTTGGCTGTAGAACCTGGCCTGTAGACACCTGACAATGCAGGGGTATATTGCACTATGTCTCACCTGGTACTGTTGGCTGTAGAACCTGGCCTGTAGACACCTGACAATGCTGGGGTAATATCGCACTACGTCTCACCTGGTACTGCTGGCTGTAGAACCTGGACTGTAGATACCTGACAATGTTGGGGTAATATTGCACTACGTCTCACCTGGTACTGCTGGCTGTAGAACCAGGCAGGAAGACACCTGACAATGTTGGGGTAATATTGCACTACGTCTCACCTGGTACTGTTTGCTGTAGAACCAGGCAGGAAGACACCTGACAATGTTGGGGTAATATTGTACTACGTCTCACCTGGTACTGCTGGCTGTAGAACCTGGCCTGTAGATACCTGACAATGTTGGGGTAATATTGCACTACGTCTCACCTGGTACTGTTTGCTGTAGAACCAGGCAGGAAGACACCTGACAATGCTGGGGTAATATTGCACTACGTCTCACCTGGTACTGCTGGCTGTAGAACCTGGCCTGTAGATACCTGACAATGTTGGGGTAATATTGCACTACGTCTCACCTGGTACTGCTGGCTGTAGAACCTGGCCTGTAGATACCTGACAATGTTGGGGTAATATTGCACTACGTCTCACCTGGTACTGTTTGCTGTAGAACCAGGCATGAAGACACCTGAGAATGCTGGGGTAATATTGCACTACGTCTCACCTGGTACTGTTGGCTGTAGAACCTGGCCTGTAGATACCTGACAATGTTGGGGTAATATTGCACTACGTCTCACCTGGTACTGCTGGCTGTAGAACCTGGCCTGTAGACATCTGACAATGCTGGGGTAATATTGCACTACGTCTCACCTGGTACTGCTGGCTGTAGAAACCTGGCCTGTAGATACCTGACAATGTTGGGGTAATATTGCATTATGTCTCACCTGGTACTGTTGGCTGTAGAACCTGGCCTGTAGATACCTGACAATGTTGGGGTAATATTGCATTATGTCTCACCTGGTACTGTTGGCTGTAGAACCTGGCCTGTAGATACCTGACAATGCAGGGGTATATTGCACTACGTCTCACCTGGTACTGCTGGCTGTAGAACCTGGCCTGTAGACACCTGACAATGTTTGGGTAATATTGCACTACGTCTCACCTGGTACTGTTGGCTGTAGAACCTGGCCTGTAGATACCTGACAATGTTGGGGTAATATTGCACTACGTCTCACCTGGTACTGTTTGCTGTAGAACCAGGCAGGAAGACACCTGACAATGCTGGGGTAATATTGCACTATGTCTCACCTGGTACTGCTGGCTGTAGAACCTGGCCTGTAGACACCTGACAATGCTGGGGTAATATTGCACTACGTCTCACCTGGTACTGCTGGCTGTAGAACCTGGCCTGTAGACACCTGACAATGCTGAGGTAATATTGCACTACGTCTCACCTGGTACTGCTGGCTGTAGAACCTGGCCTGTAAACACCTGACAATGCTGGGGTAATATTGCACTACGTCTCACCTGGTACTGCTGGCTGTAGAACCTGGCCTGTAGACACCTGACAATGCTGGGGTAATATTGCACTACGTCTCACCTGGTACTGCTGGCTGTAGAACCTGGCCTGCAGACATCTGACAATGCTGTCCTCTGTAAGTGGACCAACCAGGTGAGTCAGATCATCCACTCGCATCCCACTCATTATGGATAACTACAGCTGGCCTACAAATACACAACAGGTAGGGTCAGTGGTATCAGTGCATCAGTTAGTTCTGTAGCTCACCTCATTATGGATAACTACAGCTGGCCTACAAATACACAACAGGTAGGGTCAGTGGTATCAGTGCATCAATTAGTTCTGTAGCTCACCTCATTATGGATAACTACAGTTGGCCTACAAATACAGAACAAGTAGCGTCAGTGGTATCAATACATCAATTAGTTCTGTAGCTCACCTCATTATGGATAACTACAGTTGGCCTACAAATACACAACAGGTAGGGTCAGTGGTATCAGTGCATCAATTAGTGCTGTAGCTCACCTCATTATGGATAACTACAGCTGGCCTACAAATACACAACAGGTAGGGTCAGTGGTATCAGTGCATCAATTAGTGCTGTAGCTCACCTCATTATGGATAACTACAGTTGGCCTACAAATACACAACAGGTAGGGTCAGTGGTATCAGTGCATCAATTAGTGCTGTAGCTCACCTCATTATGGATAACTACAGCTGGCCTACAAATACACAACAGGTAGGGTCAGTGGTATCAGTGCATCAATTAGTTCTGTAGCTCACTTTCAGAGACTGAATATTGTTTCGATGAAGAATAAGTGAGTGAGTTTAGTTTTATGTACCCATGTGGAGAATCGAACCTGGGTCTCCTGCGAGATGAGTGAATGTTGTAACCACTAGGCTACCCCACCACCCATTCAATGAGGAGAAACATAGTTTGGGGGAATTAACTGCTGATGCAATTAAAATAGCTAACATTCTATGACAATGATGATATATGTTTCTTAATGTAATTAGTATCACCAATGCTGTAAATGGCTTTAATCTACCACTTAAATATTGAATAATGAGCCATATATTCTTCATTATTATTGTGATACTTATTTTGAGGGCAACCCTACACATATTGTTTAGTTCCAGCCAGAACTAAATACAGAACTAACGGGATCGGGTGGTCAGGCTTGCTGACATGGTTCACACATGTCATCGCATCCCAATTGAGTAGATCGATGCTCATGCTGTTGATCCCTGGATTGTCTGGTCAAGACTTAATTATTTACAGACCACCACCAGCTAGAATATTGCTGAGTGCGGCGTAAAACTAAACCCACTCACTCACTCAATACAGAACTAAGCAACCAGTCATTAATTACAGTGATGGGTTAAGAGGATTTTAATGCAATTAAGTACTAATGCACTAATTGTATGGAAAATGACGACCCTCCCCATGGCCTTTACAATTTTTCAGGATGCTCACTGAAAACACAAAGCAGTTTATATTTTATTACAAAAAATCATTAGCTTGGACTTAATGGAGCATGGATAAGGTAAAGCAGCAATTAGGAGCATGAACAAAGATTGATCCCATCAGGGGACAATGACACATCGTTGCAGTGCTTGGTCACTTATGCATGAATCCTTTTTCCCCCTGTTGTTTCAACATTACCCTTGCACCATATTCATGCTCTTGGGTTTTACCAAATTGGTAAACACCTAAAATCTTCGTGACCAAGAATCTCCTGGAGATTCCAGCTGAAAGGAATATCACCATTTTCACTTACAGTTGTCTTGGCATGGCATTCCTGACATAATATCATATCATTACCTTCTCATGCTTATTCTATGATAAACCGTGTGTGAACTGTAAACATGCAGACACTAACTGTAAACACTCCTACCAAGCTGTACGGACTGCACCAACGACCCGGCCTAATCTGTGCAACCAGATCCACATTCCCGTCTTATCACTTTAACTCAGGAATTAAGATAAGGACAGATCACCAGTGCATGTATTCAGCCTGGAATCAGTTACAGGATACTATTATGGCCTTTATTAACACACTATGGCAGAAAGATGATCCTATCAAAGGACTAGGTAAGATAATGATCCAGTTTGGCCCCCCTGGTTGTGCATTATTATGGAGCTAAACTTTGAGAAAATGATATGAAAGCTGTGTTGCCTTGAATTGGAACTTAACTTTGTAGATGTACAGATCTGGCAAAATGAGTCACAAATAACATTTCGAAGGTTTTCATCATGCTTATGAAAGAAGCTATTTAAAGTTTATGAAATGAGGAAGTATTTTGCCTAAGCTGATCTTTCTAGAAGTAGGTAAAAACAGAACAAGTATGTTGTGAAATGATCTTTGGTCATTCATGTTTAGGTCTGATCTTGAAGTCTAAACATTAGCCTTTATCATACAATTTAGTCATTAGATACTTGATCATGCTTGAAGTAGAAACTTGTAAAGCGAGGAAACCAGTGGTGTCAACCTTTTGAACTAATATTTTTCCTTCCAATATGACAAAATTTTCTGTAACTTTAAATATTACATTTTCAGAAGACTTGAAAGGACCCATATTCTTCTACATCCAATTAACTGACAATACTAAACACCTTCATCATAACAGTACACAAGATCATTCTATCAGAATGAATCTATTTTAACACGGAGTCTACAATTAACGCTGAAGGGGTTGTTGCTGGCACTGGTAATATAGATATGTACTCCAACATACCCTAGACAAAACCAGAGTGAGTGAGTGAGTTTAGTTTTACGCAGCACTCAGCAATATTCCAGCTATATGGCGGCAGTCTGTAAATAATCGAGTCTGGACCAGACAATGCAGTGATCAACAGCATGAGCATCAACCGACAAAATCAGAATACAGAAATATACCCTAGACCGAGTCCATTCTGCATTGTGCCATTTTCTTGATTGGAACTGATGTTGTATTAAATACATTTGATTGTGTTATATAGGAAACGAGCATGTACACAGTAACGAATATTTCACGATGCACAATACCACTCGCAAACAGGGAAACAACTACATACAGTTTTGGTTTTGGGTTGCAGAATATGGATTCAGCCCCCGTTTAGAGTACTGGGTATGTCTCTATATTTTGACTCAGGGTACATTTCTGTTTACAGAAATGTTCTTGGGGTACATATTTGTAGTACCTGTGCTGCAACAACCCCTTCAGCACAATTAACATACTTTAAGCCAGTCACACAGGATGAATGAATCCAGTCACATGTCAAACGCATTTATTTGAACAGTTTCTTCAAAGAAAGTTTGGCACACCCCTCTGACAGGCTTATCACCTGAGAGTGCGATATCCAAAAACTGTAGAACAGAGGCCGATGTTGAATAAAGATTACATAGTTTCTTTGTATTGTGGAAATCGGACACCCCCAACCAGGAAACTGACTACAAAGAAAGTTTTCACTTTTGAAATGAGAGTGAGATGACGAATGCCTTTGGCTCGTGGCACTCACTGGCTAAACAAACTCATATTGTCATATACACCAAGCTGAGCGTTATCTTCCACTGTAGGTCCAAGATAGTTCAACTGCCAATTATTTTGGCGTGGAGACTTGTTCAGAGAATGATAGTCATCCTGCAGGAAATGTCAGTAAAAATTCTCAAATGTCTTTGCTGGGATGACTTATTTATCAGTGATGACAATACCAATAAAATGGAAGAGCCACGTTAAATATTTTTATCAATTTCAGAAATATGAACTTCTAAAACACATAATTTTAAATGTCAAAATTCTTTCTCAATCTGCATGCTTAGGGCAATTATTTTGGTACTTTACTCGATAAATCTCTGTCACAATTTATTTTTTTTTATTACAAAATGAGTAAGAAATTACATTCATCTTCTATTCATGAAATGGCTGGTTACAGATTTAATATAATCTCTTATTTCTTACTTCTCCAATATCCCTGTCACTTTCCATTCATAGTTTTATGACAACCCGAAGTGAACTGAACATGAGCATTGCCATGTTTCAAACAATTCACAATGTTGCCATATGGTTTAACACCAAAAATAGATTTAAACCACAAATATCAAATGCTTTAGTGCCCTTTAACAATTCAGAATGTCAATCTTTTTCATACAAAACTTCTACTTTTATACATTTCGTTTTGCACCATGTGTTTCTTGCCATCTGTATCCATTAACCCTTAATCCTTAATGCCAACTTTGACAACCAATACTTTGTATTCATATTACTATATAAGCATACTTGACATAATTATCATTAAATATTTTCAATAACAAACAGATAAAACAGTAATATCAACATCATTCAGAAACATAATAAAGTTATTACAGAACATGTACAACCTGTCCTCAAGCAACTACCATAAAGCAATTAAATAAACCATGTATGATTATTGTAATTACATGATCGCAAATTAAACCAAGAACGTAGCCATCAACTCCCCCAAGTAAAGCATCATCACACAGCCAAGGTAAACAAACATAAGCAGCATAACTGACAATGACTGGCTTGTTGCTAATATCAAACTTCACACAATTCAACTGATATACACTTATACACTTACATTCCCATGCTCCCAAATTACTATAATTATAAGTCCAGCAATATGAGAATAATAATCTAGGTCAGGAGCCTTATCATTGCTATTACTGCTTTACACAGATCTATATCATTACTTACTGCAGTCATACCCTGGGGCTCACATACTTATGTACTTATGTACTACTTTAACATAGCGACTGGTAGTGGGAGTGGCACTTACAAGCATGTGAAAAAGAAAATATTAACTTCAATACATGAAGAACATATGGACAATAGAATGGGTCTGTTATAATTACATATGAATTCATGAAGAGCTAATGGATATTTTACGTTGATAATTCGAGAAATATTTAGGGTGAGTTTCACACAGGCTGCTGTGAGTTATTGGCGAGCGTGGGATAGAACCTTTGCCTTTGTGACATTCAGTGCTGACACTTCTTCCCATATACCTGATTAGATGGTACGTGTGTGCGTGCATGCGTGGGTGCATGTGTGTGTGTTCAAAATGGGGGAATACATAGATATATAGTTCTTAGGTCTGGTCTTAGTGTAGTCACTAGGGCTGGATAAAAAGATGGATATCACTGCTAGGAGTGAGTGAGTGAGTTAAAATCTAAAGTCACTTTGGCAATATTTCAGCCATATCGTGACTAAAACAACATATATATTAACAATAATTAAAGATAGAGTATAAAATCCTGTCAACGAAGGACATTAAAACAACTAGAATATCACAGATATAAATGTAAAACTAGTAATTAAATCTAAAACATGTTAACTATAGAGGACAACACAATATAGAAATAGGCTATAGATCACCATCAACTGAAGGTAGTTCATCATACTAGGGACTCACTGCTAGGAACAATTATTAATGATAACTTTTCTGATAAAATGAAGTTTTAATTTACTCACTCAGACCACAAAGTTCGGCCTTTATTCAGGGGCTGCTTCTAAACTATGTTCAGGCTGCTGTTTTGCTAGTAATCCATGCATTTCTTTATTTGCAAATTGCTCAGATTACTTCCTTCATATTTATCATACATGATTGATATTGTATAGATTATTGATCTCCATGATTGATATCGATGGCCGCACCTACAGTCACTGTCAGTTCGTTCAATCCAAAAGAGAAAAAAAGTGAAGAATGACTCACCAAAGTTATCACATCCAAAATCACATGCTGTATCTATCCTCTTGCTCAGTTATCCAACATCCGTTATCTCTGACTCCCGTAAGTCTTTCCTTGTATTCATTGTCCAAGATTACAGCTGGAATAAAAAGGACAGGTGAGTGAGGGAGGTGGGTTCAGCTCCACTTTACATTTCGTTTTGTTTGTTGTTAAATGCTGCACTAGATTGTAGCGATCTGTAAATAATAAAGTCTGGACCAGACAATATAGTGATCAACAGCATGAGCATTGATCCTTGCAATTTTGATACGATGAAATGTGTCAACCAAGTCAGTGAGCCTGACCATCCTAACCTGTTAGTTGCCACTTAAACAAGCATGGGTTTCTGAGGACCAGTTCTAACCCGAATCTTCACGGGTGCACCACTTTGAACAGCGTGTCAGTTGTATCTTAACAACGTAGATCGAAAGCCTGACGTGACAAGGATTAAATATTTAGTCACTTGAAAACCCTCACCCCTTGAAGGCCATCAGGGATATGGCCTCTGTGTGTATGAGGGTACAGGAAGTGTAATATTGTACCCATGCACACACAAATTTAAGTAATAACAAAAAGTCATTACACTATAAGTCATGTGGCATGCAAACAAGTATAGCTTTAATGACATATATTACATATATTACATGTTACCTTTAACTGACAGTTTTATACTGACAAGAACTAATCTCAATGTGCTGTGTTGATGGTTGCACATGTGAAAGTTTGAAAACCACATCTACAATCAAGATAATATCTGCTAAACCAGTGATATGATATAAAATCAGTAAAACTTGAGGAAACCGGGATCTCCATGTACGTGCCTTGAACTTCAAAACCTTTGCTGTGAGTCTAATGGACTTTCAAACAGACAGACCCAGGTAAACCCCTGGGGTATTAAACTTTGATAGAAATAGAATATCAAATCCAACAGAATATCAACAGAAGACATCTAAGGATGAGCATGTGGATTCAAACTCATGTCTATGGAGTGAGCACTTTACCCACTGAGCCACACATCGCTCAAGTAAACCATACGGTATGTCGTGACAATGTCTTCCGAGCTGACACACATCATATGAGATAATCTCATTGTACCATGAGCTTCTCAGCATCTTACCCAGTTCATCACATAGTACATACAACAGTGCACAATAGTGACTTCTTCAGAAGCCTAGCACAAACCAGATGTATCAATGTTTAAGGCTATTCCACGTATGTTTTCTATACCAGTACAGAACCATTTACCCAACAAAAATCATATATTTTCCAAGCATTAAATGCAAATTATTGATCAATGATAAGTTGAACCAAACAGGACATTAACCGTTCAGCTTTCATATACTCATCAAAAATATAATTAATTCCATAATGCTTTGTGACATATTTATTTGTAATGACTTAAATTTCAGTAGAAAAATTGTATTATTCTAAGATACTATCTACCAAAATATGGTACAGCAAAATGTTCAGAAAAGGTTACACATTATCAAATATAACACAATGCATTGACTTTAACAGTAAACATTTGTTTAAAAAAAAGAAGTTAAGTTTTCCCTCTCTATCAATATCTTCAATTTGCAAAAGTTTAGAAATAAAAATCAAACGAAAAAGTACCTGTCCGTAAGTTTGAACACCTTCGAGATGACTGTATCACTTGTGGAAGCAACGTCAACAGCACAAAGAACAAGTTGGTGAAAACAAACCCACAAATGTTCCTTTCAGTGGTATCCGATTACACGTCAGAAAGAAAACCTCACCTGACACTGTCAATGTACACGTTAGATCAAGCCTGCTAGCACCTCACTCACTGCTCGTAAATATCCGATCCTCACAATGGAACTCTGTAATTAAGTTTTCCCAATACAGCCCAACTACACCAAAATGTGGCAGGAACACATTAAAGGAAAACTCCGTTCCGTGCAAGGTGTAGAGTTAATTGCTTGGTACAAAATGATTTCTCCATACTCCTGTTGTCGAACAGCATTCGATAACCATTGGCTTAAATCCTTTCAAGAATGTTGTCAAACATGCATTGATGGCCGTCTGATAACCTTGTCAAATAAACCTTGTCTAGGATACAGGGTATAAAATCCTGTATCTGTCCCAGTGTCAACCAAGACCTTTGTATACCATACCGGTGACCACCTGTAGCTGCTAATGCTCTCCTGTCCACTTCATAGCACCTTTGTATAACACATAGCTGAAGAATATCATCTTGTATCGCATGACAATATCCCATTCATGGTTCTCTCCATACTAGTACACTCTCTTGTATATTTCTCCATCACAAAATGAAAACATAACCTTCGTAAGTTTACCACTTGTCAGAGGTAGTAATTTATTGTAGAAGCTCAGTGGACGAACAATATACACCAGACGGGTAATTCACCAAACTGACCACTCCACTGAATAGGTGCGACCAATAAAACGCTCACTTGAGGTATGTCCACTTAGTGTCCACTACCAAGCTTCACTGACCCCATTATTGATGCAGTGCATTAGCTAGAGTATAACAGGTTTATGTGGGTTATCCCACATGGGCTTATTGTCAGCCAAGACATGGGCTTCTTAGTAATAGATTAACATGTGAAACATTGTGTAAAACTCAAGTTGTGCCTTCAGGCAAAGACATTAACAATGCTTGTTGGTCTTTTCCTTAATACTGACAGGTCTGGGTACCAACCCTAATCAGTAAGGATAATTCACGTATAAATTTGTGTACAGTATGAAAATACCTTCTGAATTTGTACCTGAATGTATCACTAAGCTATGTAAATACATCAATATTTTGAGACTGGTATCTGGTCTTCCAGATGGTCCTCAATTGAATCAATTGAATGCCGGCAGCTTGAAGGCCACTGCAAATTAATTACAATTTTTGGGGTGATTTTCAAATTTCAGCCAATCCAGAAATAAGGAATTTAGAAAAAGGTTCTTAAAGACTAGATTTCTTTTTTTGAAGAATGGCTACTTGCTGTGAGAGAATGTTTTGTTTTTTTGAAGAATGGCTACTTGCTGTGAGAGAATGTTTTGTATTTTAACCAACAAGAAACTCCTCCTGTAACATCAACATTAACCTTCTAGAGTCCTACAGGCAGCTTGGTTGTATACTCCTAAGGGAGCTGAGAAATAAACCCCACTGATCCACTGACCAATGTAATCAAAACATAGGTCGGACTGGTCCATGGGTGTTCATGCTGAATTATAAATAGAGTGAGTGCAGGGATTTACGGGACGCGAATTCCTGCGTCCTATGCACATGAAACTTGACAATGGATGCAACGAAATTTATTAGTGCATCCACAGGGACGTAGAAAAAATCCAAATATTTCTTGTACAAATTTCGATCAAGTAGCAATAAGTTATCACTGAGTCTGCTACTAGCAGGGTTATGGTATCATTTGCAATTTGATTACTGTAACAATGTGATGATCATGATACACAATACAATAACAGTCGTGAATTACAATAATATTACAAATAATAATAATAATATTATAATAATAGTATTAATAATAATATTTAAGTGTCTGGGACCCCCATTTTGTAGGACCTCTGAAAATTAAGAGTATGAGTCCCAGGGACCCTCAAATACAGGACTCAAGGTAAATCCCTGTCAGTGAGTTTAGTTTTACGCCGCTTTTAGCAATATTCCAGCAATATCATGGTAGGGACACCAGAAATGGGCTTCACACATTGTACTCATGTGGGGAAAAGAACCCAGGTCTTTGGCTTGATGAGCAAACACTTTAACTACTAGGCTACCCCACTGCCCCCAATATAAATAGACTTATTATTAACATGACTTTACACATAGAGGTTAATAGTTTTTCATAGGTGGGGGACCACCTCCGTGGTGTAGTGGTTAGAGCGTCTGCCCGGAGAGCGGAAGGTTATGGTTCGATCTCCGACCGCGTCATACCAAAAGACGTTAAAATATGGTACTTGTTGGTCCCTGCCTGACGCTCAGCATTAATGGGTACAACATGGACTGGTCAGCTCGGAGTCAATATAATGAGTCTGAGTGGGGTATTCATGCTTCACTGCAGCATGGTATCTCAGTGGGCTAGCACTATAAAACCAGCTTAAGTCTGGGCTAGTACAATCAGCTGCACATACACACACATGCACGTCGTCATATGAGCGAAATATTCTCAAGCACGACGCTAAACCCAATTTCACCTCACCTCATATGTTGGGAGACATTTCTGACAATCAATCATCAAGTGATATTAAAAGTTGTGGCTAAAGCTAATGGTTCATGCTGTCCATTAAGTTAATATGAGCAACAAATGTGGCATACAAACTGGATATGAAGTTTATGCTCATGAAACATCTACATGATACAAAGTAGCAGCATGTAAACCAATACATGTAGATGACGACAATGGATATGATGTACTGATGATGTCTATGAAGTATACTGCATTGATCATAATGGACCACAATATATAATGGCATCCCTGTTGTTTACTATGAGTGTTATTTTATGGTGTAGTCAGCAACACTTCAGCCATGACAGCTTCTGAATAATTGGACAATCACAGTCTACACTGTTGGACAATAATTCTATCTCTCTGGATCTCAAATCAGAGGAAGATCCGGGGGTAGAATAGGTCTTCAGCAACCCATGCTTGCCACAAAAGGCGACTTTGCTTGTCGTAAGAGGCGACTAACGGGATCGGGTGGTCAGGCTCGCTGACTTGGTTGACACATGCCATCGGTTCCCAATTGCGCAGATCGATGCTGATGCTGTTGATCACTGGATTGTCTGGTCCAGACTCGATTATTTACAGACTGTCGCCATATAGCTGGAACATTGCTGAGTGTCGCGTAAAACTAAATTCACTCACTCACTCAAATCAGAGGAATCTCTTTTCCCTTGGAATCAGCACAGGTTAGAGTCCCCCAAACACGTTTTTTGTTAATCAGATGCCGATATACATATTGTAAGAAATAGTGCTAAGTCCTTGTAGATCACATGCATATGCGGTGAGTGAGTGAGTGGGTGGGTGAGTGAGTGAGTGAGGGAGGGAGGGAGGGAGTGAACGCAGGTTTTCGTCATGACACACTAACACTGTAACCACAAGTCTATCCCACCATCCTGAATATGTATGTAATAGGTTATAATGTCAACAAAGACAAACATTTGAAAATGTTTAAGATGTGAACAAAGTATGTTGAGGAGAAACAGACTCTTCAGTTCCCTCAGGCTAGTCATTTCAAGAGAAGAATGTTTACAGAGGCAAATATGTCTTTTGAATTTAAAAGAATAGTCCAAACAAAGACAACATTCTAAATATTGATGAAAAAACACAACACTTGTAGAGCCCCATTACTTACTACCATATGAATTGTATTACATGCAGAAAAAAATGGCTGAAAAATGCCTGGACATGGTTGATTAGGTGTATGTAATCAACAACAGATTCAGATCTGTCATCTTCATTATTTACCATTTGTTTACTGGCAACAAACATCTGAAGAATTAAGCTTTAATGCTGGACTTTCAGTCATAAGTACCAGATAAGAAAACAAAGCTTAACAAAAAAATTAAGCATTTTATACATTATATTCTTGAGTTATTAAATATGATGATTTGTTAAATAACTGACCATTATTTAATATATACTAGGCTCACTCAAAACATATGTAAAACAAAACAAACTTACTGGTCTACAATAGGTGTTTTGACTGAAACAGCAGACAACCAATAGATCCTTTATCAAATGTAGGTACAGGAAGCTTTACTGTTTTTATTACTATCTGATGAATTCTTTTGTTAAACCTATGAGAATATAAGGCAACAAATTGTGGAGAGCTACTTGACATGATTTTCCCACGATTCTTATTCTATAAATAACAAAATATTCAACGTAATAAAGACAAATTCAACTAATCTTCAAATACATCAAAAGTTGACAAAGCCTTCTGTGTGTAATCACTCAGCCAAGTTCAAAGCTTTCAAGTGAAATGACAAACATAATCAAAATATTTCAATGAAATTAGCCATGTAGAACAGTTTGAAAATGGGATGCACCATGTTGTCTTTGTCATGGGTTGGACATTTTACGAACGATTCACGTACCTGTATTGGTGTCACAAACGTTCAAAGAACAAACTCTACTTTGGAGCCTGTCAAAATGATTTCGTTGATATAGTAACATTTTAGCTCATACATCACATCCAATATGTCAGAAATGAACGCACTTCTTTGTTTCAACAACCTCCCGTTTTGCGACAATCAGGTAAAGTACGACGGTAACGGTGATTGCCACGAAAACAAGGTACGATACAAGGCCTGGTACACAAGTAAGCAGTATGTATGGACATTCTGATAGTCCTCAGTGACAGTTTGCTTAGCGACAACTTTGATGTGTTTGATTCTGGCAACTTACCTTGAATCATATCGTATTAACTCAAGGAGACAGGTAACACGCATGATAACCACTAATTGCTTTTAGCCCGGGAACACCGTGTCAAGTTAACCCGTTGGTGTTCTTCTCGGTTGACTGAGCGTCTGACACACATGGCTTGGTCTGTTGTTGTGTTTGGCCACAGGTGCGCGGTAGTTATCTCCCCTTGGGTCAGTGGAGTGTGTGTGTGTGTGTGTGTGTGTGTGTGTGTGTGTGTGTGTGTGGGGATTAAATTGTTTTGAAATTAAAACCCCACCTGTTTCATGATTATTGTATGAGGCACCTTTTTACTATTATTCCCGATGGTATTATGTAAAAACAAAAATTTAATGATATCACAAAATGAACTATTCATATCAAGTACAGTTTCGATGAAATGATACCAAACACCAGTTACGTCATTAAATATGTATAGATATTACAGATCCGATTTTTTAAATATCAATAATACATTCATGATGTCCAAAATATATTCTGCGAAATTAAATCTGCTAGCTTGACTGAAATTCTGTGAACAACTACATAGAAATTCTAAAGCATATACATGTTTTACAAATTCCATTCAGAGATATCTAAAATTCATTTTGAGATGCATTATTATTGATTGTAGTTCAGTAACTCCGTCAATCTGTTCGACATAGGTGTTCAAATTCTGTAATGGTATTTCACATATTTCATTTTTTCTCACTAATCCAGCTTGTATATATCAGTATTATACTCAAGAGCATTTAATGTTAGTGTACATGTGTGTTATTGTCACGTGACATCATTGTGTTCAGACAAAACCAGTTTTAGTTTGATATTAATACGCAAATCACATGGACCGGGAATACGTGTGTTCCACTACCGATCTACAGATCTATGTTTAGTCTCTGAAATATATAATACTGACAGAAACAAATGTCCCAAAATAGCCATTTTGCTTTATGTTTAGCATTAAAGTAAGGGTTGGGGTAAAGGGGAAATAGGATGCTTCAGGAACTGTGAGACAGACTACCTATCGTTGTGTACATAATTGTCCAGGCACAACAAAAGTAAAACAGAGAACGTCATATTTTAAATTATCTCCCCCTAGTGTTCTGCTATGATATCATTAGGAACGTTCTCAAAGTGAATGAGTGAGTGAGAATGTTTTTTCTCCGCTTTTATCAATATTCTAGCAATATCACGGCGGAGGACACCAGAAATGTGTTCACACATTGTACCCATGTCGGGAATCGAACCCGGGTCTTCGGCGTGACGGGCGAACGCTTACGTTCTCAAAGATACCGAGACGATTACATGCTGAGGACATACATACGTAAGGAAATCCACAAAATAATAACACATGATTGGTTGGTTTGTTGTTTAACGCCGCACTCAGCAATATTACAACTGTCTGTAAATAATCGAGTCTGAAACAAACAAACCAATGATCAACATCACGAGCATCGTTCTACGCAAATGTCAACCAAGTCGGCGAGCCTGACCATCCGATCCCACTAGTCGCCTCTTACGAAAGCATGGGTTTCGACACAACACGAAGGGGGAAGGATATTCGTGGTGTGTCATTATTTTGTGGATTTCCCTATATATGTACTACCCGTGAAAATCCCGGTTGGCATTGGTCTTCAGCAACCCATGCTTGTTAGTAGGGCGGATAACAGACCAAAATAGGCCGAATCACTGACTTTGTGATACAAGCACCAAAATTGGCATGATCGCTCACCATTGGCTCCCTGTTCAGAAAATAACGTTGGCCAATCAAAAATCCAAGATGGCCGCTATTTTTCAAGATGGCCACCACTGGTTATACAAAAATATAATCTTTTTCTTTTGACTATCATTTTTGGCAGATGTTTTTCATCCAGATGTCTAATTCAACTTTAGCTGAGCGTGCAGAACCATGTTTTAATGAAAAAAAGACAAATAATAAATTATATGGGTGTTTTTTTCTGAATATGGTAAGATCAAATTACGATTTTGTTATTTTTTTCGTAACTCTTGTCTATATTAAATGTTTGTGGTCCCTAAAGTTTTAGATGTTAAAGGACCAAAACGTTTACTCAACAAAGATTCATCTTAAAGAAAACTGCATTGGCCAATCAACAATCTAAGATGGCCGCCATTTTTCAAGATGGCTGCCACTGATCATGCAAATTGTTAGTTCTTGCATGACCCTCCGATCACCAGATCTGAACCCAATTGAACATTTGTGGAACGAACTGGATCGACGTGCGAGACAGTGCGATCCTGAGCTGCAGACCTTAGCTGCTTTGTTTCTGATTTTGCACGAAGAATATCTGGTCATTCCTAGACAGTTCATCCGGAATCTATGGGACGCCAATGCCAGGCAACCATTGTTGCTAAGGGCGTTCACATAAGATATTGACTGCTCTGTAAATTTGACCTTTCTGCACATGTCATTTGTTACGTCCCACCTCTACCTCCACTGGACAATACGTGTTCAACAGTGTTTTCTCTATCACTGTCCTGTATCACTTAAACTTACATGCTTAAATATATGACTATATTCAGCTATGCGTTTCTTTTTTAGTAGTATAGATTCAAAATTAGATAACATTGGACCCAAACAAACGTTATGTTGTCGTTTTTTGTGTGTTTTTTTTCATAGTTATCAAACTTGATGTAAATAAATAAATGGTATAAACAATATGTTTTCCGAAATATATGATATCTCATCTCCTGGTAAGTAAAATTGTTGACTTATGTTAAAATCAGATTTTAGTATACAAAAACAAATTGTGTTTTACAAATTCTAAGAAATATGTAATGAAATTTAAAGTACATCATAGCTGCATCAAGCATAGCCTATTCCAAAGTCACCCCGCTAAAACTTTTCTGAAAAGTGAGAAGCGTAAGTCGCAAAGCCCTCAATTCCACTATTTTAATCAGGCACTGGACATGGAACTCTTGATCAGATCTTGATGAAACAAATGAGCCAGGTAAACAGTTACAATATAGATGATTTTGATGTCTATACTTCCTTACACTAATTTTGTTCTTTGGAAAGCTATAAAAACTATCGTTGAACATTCATTGTCTTCTAAATCATGTTCTTGTATTAAGTGATCATGATCTGATAATCAAAGTTGTGGATTGATTTTGCCTTTGAAATACTATGTCTCTTCTCCTGGCGTAGCCAAACTTATTGTTTGATCAACATGAATACCACCAACAATATCTGAGACAGAAAAAGTCGAAACCTGGTTGAAAATTGTCGTAGTTTGCCTCATTTGACATTTGTTTATAATATAATATGGTGGCCATCTTGGATTTCCTTCAGCAAAATGAATATGTTTTCTAGCCTATTACATCATCCAATCTAGAGATGTTATGATGAAAGTCGAATATGGAAACTTCTTTTGATTCTGTCTTGTTTTGTGTTCAATATGCAAGAAATATTGTAAAAACTGTTTTTGGAAAATTGGCGGCCATCTTGGATTTTGGAAGCAATCATATTTTGCTTCATAGCATAAACAATATCTTAATTAACACATTGAGACACAAATACGTTGAAAATCTCAGAGATATTATGCTTTTAGGAGCTGAAACAAAGATAGTGTAATATAAATGGCGGCCATCTTGGAATTTTGAGTGGCCAACGTTATTTTTTCAGTAAGTGTCCCAAAGGGAACATATATGCAAATTTTGTTGCTTGTATCACAAAGTGAACGATTTTTCCATTATCTGCCCTACTATGTTGTAAGAGGTAAACTAAAGGGATCGGATGGTCAGGCTCGCTGACTTAGTTGACCCTTGACTATATCATCGTGTCCCACATTGCGTAGTTCGATGCTTATGTTGCTGATCACTGGATTGTCTGGTCCATACTCGATTATTTCCACATCACCGTGATATAGCTAGAATATTGCTGAGAGTGGCGTTCGGTTTTTAAATTACATTTAGCGGTCTTAAATCAACGATAAAGGAAATTGAAAACAGAGTAGCTTTTTCCTCTAAATTACATATATATTTCCGTTCAATGCTGAACAGACCCGTGAAGATCCGGGCTAGATTTGGTATTCAGTAACGCATGGTTCTTGTAAGAGGCGACTAACGGGATCGGGTGGTCAGGCTCGCCGACTTGGTTGACACTTATCATCGTATACCAAATTGCGTAGACCGATGCTCATGCTGTTGATCACTGGATTCTCTGGTCCAGACTCAACTATTTACAATCCACTGGAATATTGGTGAGGGCGGCGTTAAACAACAAACAAACAGTTATATATACTACTGTTCACTGCTGAACACCATGTTATATATATATAGATACACACACAAAACCCAAACAAACACACACACTCTCAATAAAACGAATATTGACAACATACGTATATATACATATATTTATATAAAGGAAAAACATGAAATCCTGCAAAGTTGAATACTTACGACGTTTTTGCCGCATGGGACGCTGGATGGTTATCGTCTGTCATCCACACATTCCTCCCGTCATCTTCAAGACGTCAAACACTATTTATTTACCCAGCTTTTGGTAGCTACATCAATATTGCTTTAAGATTATTGTGCAAATTGCCGAAAGCATGCATGCAATGTTTGCAAAATTACACTGTGTCGAAGCATTGTTACTTGAGTAAGGGAGATAACTCGTGACAATGTAACGCGCTGAATAGTTCGCCCTTAATTCAAATACGTCTATACAAGTATCCATACAGCCTCGGGGTAAACATACACAAGTTCCAGAATTTGTTTGATTTTGGTACAGGCTACACTGCAGTTCTAAATACTCGTGAAAGGTGTTTCATTTGTGATTTGTCTGTTATATTATATGTGTCACTCTGAAGCTGGTGATAACCTTATCAATGCTGGGTAATAGACTATTGTGATACTGCGTTCGATGTTGAAAGGAATTTCGAAAATACACTTAAATGAGGTATACAGAGCAAAGTTTACTTCACTATATAATGTATAGGTACTACAGTTTGTATAGGTGGTCACTGAATACACTTGTTACAAGGGTAAAACCAGTATTTCTACAATAGGTGTCTGTGTGTACAAAATCGTCCTGTGGTGGTTTTGACAGGGATTACATTGATCAGGGATTACATAGATCG